CCAGAGGGACGCAGGTTTCACCTGAAAGGTGCTAAACGGTATGCAGCCGACCTTGCCATCAAGACCCTCCTCACCAAATGGGCCATTCGGCGATTGCAGGATTCCAACGAAACTTGGGGTTTCTACTCCCTTGTGTTTTTAGTACTGAAAAAGAACTCCACAGAGGTGAGAATGATCATAGACCTCAAAACTCTCAACAAGAAGTAATTGGTCCCGCCTCCAAGATTTCAGATGGAATCAGTCAGGAAACTACATTCATCACTCAGAACAGGAGATTGGGTCATCAGCCGCAACCTTAAGGATGCATATCTCCATGTGCAAATCCACCTCACGCCATGAAAGTACCTCTGTTTTGCAGTAAACGACCGTCGGAATGACTTCCGGGTTCTACCGTTCGACATATCAGTTGCCCCTTGGTTATTCACCAGAATAACAGGGCCAGTCATAAACTTTGCCCATTTACAGATGGTAAACTTCATGGATATCTAGACGATTCCTGGCCGCCAATCAGGAACTCACCCAGCTGCGTCAGGATGTGACATTCCTAACCCAACTCATGTCTTATCTTGGGTTCCTCATCCATCCATCCGACCAAGTCAGAGATTTATGCGGAACAAGACAGTCTACATTGGGGCCAGATTTCTTCTACGTACGGGATATCTTTCACCATATCATCAACATGTCCATCACCATGACCAACTCAGCTCGAGACCAACCTACCAGATCAATCAGATGGTGGATGTCTCTCAAGGGAACCCTGTCCTCTTTACAAGATATGACTCCCAGAGGACGATTACAATTACGCCAGCTACAGAATTTGATCAACTTCCTACGATCTCAGACCCTGGATACACTGGTACTCATACCTCTCCACCTGAGCCAAGAACTAATCTAGTGGACTCAATGAGATCATGTAATGAAGGGGATTCCTCTCACCCTCCCACCTGTCAGATTCAGGTTGCTCACATGGACAAACTCCAAGTTCAGGGTCTATGGACCGAGACAGAAGCAGCTCTACGCATAAACTGCAGAGAGATGAAAGCAATCTCCTCTTATGCTCTCCAGACTTGGAAAGATCACCTCATCAAATCATCCGTCTTGATTGCCACAGACAACAAGACTGTGGTTGCCTACATTCAGAAGCAAGGCGGAACCAAGTCCATTTCGCTGATGACGGAAACTACTCAGCTATTTGCCTTGGCTGACTCATCAGGTGCCGGATGGAAGCAAGATATATTCCAGTCAAACAGGATATACTAGCGGACAGCTTTACCCGGAGAGGGAGGATTGTACCCACAGAGTGGACTCTTCACCCAGACGTTTTTACCTGGATAACCTCCGTTTGGGACACCCTGCATCTGGACCTCTTCGCGACCTCAATCATCAACTTCTGGACATCCCAGACTACTATTGCTCCTGATGGGCGAGCCACTCACTCTTCAACTTCACAAAGATCTCTTGTGTCAGCCCAGGTCAAGCCTATTTTGCTCCAATCTTCCCAGCTTCCATCCCACCGCCGGGAAAGTATCTCACAGATAATTCAGGCCTCAGGGTTCTCTCAAGCTGCCTCTACTGCTGTCGCAAGATCATGGCGATCGTCATCCACACAACTTATGACAACGGATGGAACAAATTTGTCCATTGGAGACACAGATGTGGTCTAACTAATGTAACAGTGAATATTCCAATGTTTGCGAAATTTCCTTTTACACCTACGACAGGATAATAACTTCCGACATGGAACCATTGAAGGATATAGATTCGCCCTCCATTCCATTCTCCAACTCGATGGATTAATGATTGGAACACATCCAGTGCTTAACATATTCATGCGAGCATTCAGCCTAGAGGATATTCGCATTCCCCGAATCTTCCCAAACTGGAATTTATCAGTCGTCCTGTCTGCTCTACTAGCCGCTCCATATGAACCTCTTGGAAACGCTACTATTCTCCAAAAATCCCGTAAAGCAGCATTTTTACTATCCATGGCTACCGCAGCTAGAGTTTCTGAACTCCATGCTCCCAACTGGACCTCCATCACCTTGTGATCCCTTCCGGACTTTAGAACCAAGAATCAGTCCACGGCTACTGGTCCATTGGGTCATAGACATTATACTATTCCCGCCTTAGCACCTACAGTGGATCATCCCGATCGCCTCCTTTGTCCTATACGAGCTCTCAAGTTTTATCGGACAGCCACTGATCCATATCGCCGACGTTAAAGACATCTATTCATCTTGTGCAAGTCCCACTCGGGTAAAGACATCACTAAAGCAACGGTTGCTGGATGGCTAAAGACTTACCACAGCACCAAGTTACTCCTCATACTATGGCTTCTAGCTCTGCCCACGAAATCCGAGCTTTGGCAACGAGTCTGGGGTCCTGGTCATGTGTCCATCAAGCAAGTCGTAGCAGGATGCCAGTGGGTGTCACACAATACTTTCACTAGCTTTTACCTGTGAGATATCCAACCAGACTTGACAGGGATTCATTCGTTGGGACCTATTGTTGCAGCCCAGACGTTTGTATGTCTCTAGTTTTTCCTCCTTTCTGTGAGAAAAAAGAGGGGGCGAGGATCTGACATCAGCAGCTACAGAAGGTGAATATACCTTTTACCTTGACTTAGTAGTATGTTATGTAACAGCGGGGAATTGGAGGACGCCATAGTAAGAGATACACTTACGTTTCCAGCCAGATCGTAATAATAATATTTCTGAAGAAATTAATAAACAGTGTGACTACGTTATACCAGGTGCTAGAACGACAAAAACAAAACAGATGTTGACTCTAGCACACACAGGAAAGAAGTAACGTTTTTCCCGCCTTTTGTGAGGAAGAGCTGAAGAGCTACATGTGCTGTCAGGGGAACATCTAGTTGTGTGTAGTTTACAGTGAAGAGGACTTCTGTTTCTGCAGCCAAAATACAGGATTTATGGCTATGATGTAATAGAGGTAGTATTCTTAGAATTATGAACAATGATAACTATTGTTTGATAATGGTCTGTGATATCATAAACAGTGGATCGCATCATAAATTATTTGTGACTGCATTGAAATTGACAATGCAATATTAGTGAATGGTCATATCTTTGATTGGGGTGGCGTGTTGTCAGATGTTCTGTCAGGACGACTGGACATGAGACTGGAAGACTTCATTCATGAGGGCTTTGTGGAAGCCTACTTTTGTTGTGAGTTTTTACTCATTTTTAAGTGAGTACCACCATGACTATGTACACTGAGGGAGAACATCTCAACACATAATCAGAGGTAGAAACCATCAGTTAGATCCAGCTGCTGCAAGAAAAATACTAATCCTTCCAATTTCCAACTAAGGACCATATGAAAACTTGGCATTAACACTTTATTCCTGTCATGGTTACAATTTATAAGACTTCACGTAATGACAAACTAAATATTAATTTAATATATACTGAACCAAATTAAAAACTTCACAATCCTAAAATTTTAACATTTTGACCAGTTATCATTGTGGGCCCTTATTGTGTATTTAAACAGTAATGGCCACGTATTGTCTCCAGATAACACCCGTTTTTGTGCAGGTGAATCGATCAAAATCATGTGCACAGCACTATAGTGGCAAAAGTGTTTTTTCACGTGCAATTGTGGCCATAATACCGCACGTGTTTTCAGCCATACTTGTTAGCAGTCATTAACAAAAAAAGAAAAACACAAGAAAACAAAAGTCTTTACGGCCATTTGTCATACCACGCCTTTCCAATGTGCAACGTGAACGTGCCATCGGCATGTTGCACACGGGAAGGTCCATAGCTGAAGTCGCAAGGACAATGGGTTGTAGTCGATGGACTGTTTATGATTTACAGACGCGTCTACAGCAAACGGGTACCACCGCTGATCGCCCTCGGCCAGGTCGACCACGTGTGACGTCACATGCAGAGGATCGTCAGATTGTCTTACGTCACCTCCGTAACCGATTTTTTACGGCTACATCAACCAGAAATGAACTGTTTAGGGGTAGACTGAGTGCGCAAACTGTTCGAAACCGTCTGAGAACTGCTCATCTTCAAGCACGATGGCCATACTGCGGGCCGATTCTGACTCAATTACACAGACGTCAATGTCAATTGTGGGCACAGCGACACTTACGATGGACTCCGAGGAATTGGAATCAAGTCGTCTTCAGCGATGAATCCCGATTTAATCTTCCATTTGCTGATGGTAGGGCGAGGGTGTGGAGGCGCTGTCATGAACGTTACGCCCAGTGTTGTGTACAGGAAGTTGACAGATTTCGAGGCGGAAGTGTCATGGTGTGGGGTGCTTTCTGTGGCAATGCACGTTCCAGGCTTCTTGTCATCCATGGCAACCTCAACGCTGCTGCTTACCGCGACCAGGTACTGGCACCATTTGTCCGTTGTATATCATATATGGGATTACTTTTAAAAATGTGAAGTTTTTAATTTGACTCTGTATACTTTGTTAAACTGTACCTGGTACAGATGTATTGAATTCCTAGAAGATTTGAGAAATTTAATAAATAGGTGTCAGTCTTCTCACATAAACAATGGGATAGTATTGGCCAATTGCACTAGTGCTGACTAACTGATATTAAACCACATCAATCTAATCTGTGAGGTCAAGGTTTTATTACTTATTTACCTGATTAATAGTTGAACAAAATCATCACAAAACCATGGAGCAGGCCAACCTGAATCCAAATTTTCTTAATATGTGTGTGCTAAAAGGTTTAACTATTCAAGCATGTGGTCTTCAGATTGTTCTTGGATGTTATTGGTGTTGCATGGTCAAGTTCATACACAAGTTATAACAATTTAAGTATGGTCAAGGGGAGGTAATCCAATGGCAAAATCATGATGATGATGAATAGACAATACTGTCAATACCATATGACCTTGTTATCATGGAATAGTTTAGCATTGTGGTCCCTACAAGTAATGCTGCTACTGTTATCAGCAGTGGGCAGCTGTATTCCTTCATGCATCATACAAACAACACATTGTCAGTTTTGACGATTCACGTTTCTATTACTGATGAGAGCTGTTACAAATTTAGTGAATCACACCTAGTGAAGTACAAATATGTCATAGATTAAGACTTTCAAAGTGATACAACTGTCATAGCTCCAAGTTTGTTACACTGTAAGACTCTCTTGTCATGTACATACAAACATATCTTGACAGATCACATTGTATTAAGAATTAAACTAATTAACTGCTATTTACATGACATATTGGAGAATATGGGGTAAAACAGTGTGTCAAGAAGCTTTTGTGCAATGAGTCTGTGCTAGATTTGGCAATGACATGTTATGATCACCTTCACTACGGTGAATTTGAAAACAACATATTGATGAAGCTTTAAACCAATGTATAGACATATATTAACATCATATTTCATCACATGTCAAAGTTATAGAGACTCAAATTTTAGGCATATGCACATAGACTGATAGTTTTGGCAATATTCAACAAAACTTGTTTTGGATGTGTACAGAACTTGTGAGGACTGTCCCATAATACAGTGACAAATGTTTAAATAAAAGGGCACTCTACTGCAATCTTCATTATGAACGACAGTTTTCACAGTCTTCTGCATTGGATGTCTGAGCATGAGAGATGGGCTGGCTACTTGTACTCAGGCCTTGTGGTTGTATCACAAACTCACTCAAATCATTTGAGCAGACATTATTTCACACTTCACAGAAACAACAAAGAGAAAAGTACCTGCAGTCCGACATCTAAGGCACACTTGTATACATATAGATTTGTGATGGAGATGTACATATTTATCACATCCTAGCTGTGTTGTACCAATGAAACAAGCTAAAAATAATTTTCACAAAACATAGTTATGCATCATTTACACAATATCTACAACAGAGGAATCCATTTCTTGGAAATGTTACTGGGTATGTATGAACTAAATGCTTGGGAGAAGCCCTTCAGATACATACACTTGAATATAACACCCACACTCAAGTCTGTTGAGATTATTTCCAGGTTTCAAGACAAACAATTGACTGTCTCTGGATGTGTATGCAGGATATGTCATGATATGTCGATGGCTTCAGCATCCAGGTTGGCTGTCCAGGCCACCAAGTCATCAACCTCCTTCTCCCATGGCTCATCCTTGGGGTTGAGGGCAGGCAAGGCACTGTCCAACACTATATCAGGTGCAGGAGCTGGAACAAACAATCATCTCTCATGTATCGATGTCCTCCATGACAGTCACTGACACTCTTATCACGAAAGCACAAATTCTTTCGTGTTTGTATTCAACTGTGGGTATGTGTGTGGACACCAGATCTTGATCAGTTTAGAATTGTTTTGGCTATCAACATTCTTCCAGAAACCATAACCATAGAGCTTGATGGATGACTGATGCAATGCAATTGTATAAGCTCTACCTGTCGACCACCAGTTTAAAAACAACAAATGAAACAAAAGAAGTTGCCTCTTCTATTTTAGCTACACAACCACTGCTGTCTCTCCAACTGAATGACTGGTATTGGTTACCTTAATGTACAACTACAGTATTATTAGAGTCATATTCAGGAGTTTGCTGAGGCAGTCCTTACTTGGAGATACTCGTGGAGGAAGGTATATCTTCTTCATTCGTTCGAGTCTGTTGAGTTTAGCTGCTTTCTCTTCCTCTGCTGTAGGTCTCATCCCAAAACGACCATACATCAGAGCAGAGTGTCTGGAACAAACATAAGAATTTACAGCAAAATAACATATGTATGCAGTTGGGTTTTTTAAAACATACAATCCTAGTAAGGAATTATACTTCATTCAAAGTTCCAACGTTTGATAAAGGAAAAAACACAAGGTGTAGTAAGTTTGAATCCCATCATTGCTCACAACCTTTCAGCAATCTGCGTAAGTTTCAAAGGGAAATGACCAGACTAGACTGGATGGTTTCTGAACAGTGATCATATCCATGCCACATGTACATATATATCTTAATGTAGGTTTACATACTTAGGCTAGTAGGTGCCAGATGACAAGGATACTTACTCCTGCATCTGTTTCTTGACCTGCACTTGTATCTCCTCTGGGGGCAGCCCCATGTGTACTTGCTGCAACACTGGCTTGTCCCGGATTGCCTCCAATACTATCAGTACACAAACAACTTTCACATATCAGAACAATGTGAATCATCTAATTTTGGATGCAAGATAAAATTTACAAATGATAATGTATGACACATAAGGCTAAACCTAGCAAAATCCTAGATATTTTTTATATTTGTATACTTTTGTATACTGCATTTCTCGTGGGGAGGAAGCTCTGCGATGGGTGGGTCTGTGTAGATGTAGTAAGGCAGGATACAAATATAAAAGATATCTAGGATTTTACTAGATTTTTAACTTATCCTGCTTTATTCCATAATGCATCTGAATCCTATGGAAACGGTGGAGGGCATAACTTCAGATGTGGTCTTCCATCTAAACGCTCCAATATCCCTCAGCCAATCAGGGAACAATGACTAAAGGGCCAAAGCTTGTGTGCTCCTTGCACGTCTTCTAAAGTGTAAAGTCCTTGTGATAAAGGAGTGTCGCCATGTCCTGGTGGTTGAGGAGGCAGTTGTCTATGTACGCCTCAACCTTGACACCTCTCAAGTGGAGGATCGACGTTATCGGCTTGGTGATGAGTGTAAATAGCCATGGGAAATTCCAAACGAGAGGACCACCCATTGGTAGTGGATACCCATGAAGATGAATTGGAGTAATTTCCTGTCGTCGGGGTTGATTGGTACATGTAGGTACGCATCTTGGAGGTCCAGGCTGATGAGGGCGTCGTGAGCCTGTATCCTGGACCAGAGGAGCCTGAGAGTGCTCATTCTTAGGTGGATGGGCCAAGTAGTGCTTGTTGAAGGTGGTGAGATGGGGATCATGTTAAATTGGTCCGAACCCTTCTTGGGGACAAGGAATATTTGCGAATAGAAGTCTGGTGTTATGGCTGGGGAGTAAACAATCTCTATGACCACTTTGGCCAGCAGTGTCCCGACATTCGAAGGGGGATATGTGTCCACTATGGCCGACAATGTGAGAGGTGGGTCGTCTATCAGTGTGAGTCTGTACCCGTGGCAGAGGATGTTGGCGACATAAGGGTCCCCCAGGATTTCCCAGTTCCGCCAATGTCTGCCACCTACAGGGATGTCCACAACGTGTCCAGTCGTGACCATGTGTCTTGACTTGCTGCCCCTGCAGTTGTCGCTCCCTCCCCTGGAGCAGTCTCACCGCTTGTGGGAGAGGCTTACCCGGGTAGGACACAAAGGCTGAGTCATGGCCACGCGGCTGTAGAGAGCAGTGCCTGGGCTGGTAAGTGCCGGACTTTGATGGCTTGAAGGAGGGTCTTGGTGACCTGACCATTAACAAGACTGAGGACGACGATGGTTGCTGGAGGAGGTCTCTCTTACATTCGAGGTCCCAATCCGAAAGGCAAGGTAACCAAAACGATGTGTGGTATACTCTCCACTTGTCGCTGAGGTAGGAGAGGACAGTGGTGAGGTGGTCCAGACGGTTAGGATTATCCTCTGAGAGGTCCTGCAGGATGTCTCTGGAGGAGGACGCTTTGAGGGAGCATCTAAGCTCTGTTTCAATGTACGCCAGCTTGTTATTAGGCACCCAGATGGTGCCTATGGCGGTTAGAGCCTGTCATGCGATGTAAATCTTCATCCAGTGTATGGGCGTAGTCCACCAGTGAGACAGAGTGGATGGGGTAGTCTTCTCTCTTATACTTCCTTGAAGGAAGGGGTTAGCGACAACTTCGCGAAGTCCTCATACATGATTAAGGGATCTGGAGGGATGGCTTTGGGGTCAGACCAAACCAAGTCCTATTTGCCCACACCCTGGCCAGGGGAAGGAGCCATAGCCTATAGCCGGTACGCAAGCCAGTCTGCCTCCTGGTTAAGAACAAGGTTAGCATGGACCTCTGTTTTGGACCTTCATAAGATGGGTGTAGGGCGTCTGTTGCTGTGGCATCTGTTGGTATGCAGGAGGTCTAAAGCCCGGAGGCGCTTGTAGGCTTGACTGAACAGGCATTTGTACTGGTATGTCAGCTGTAGTGACGTGTGATGGTCCAAAGACGTCGCACCGGTCTTCATCGTGGGGGCCGTAGACGCAAAGATTGTCATAGTGGAGGTCATCATGGGTGCCCAAATGGAGACTACAACAGAGGTGGTAGACGACATGATGTCTGGGTGACGGGTGACGTGCAACATTGCCGGGGGTTTGACATTGTCTTCCGTTTACGGGCCTTACTGGGATACTCTGAGGTACTTGTCGAAAGCTGAAGCACAATAGAATCACAAGAGAATTCACCAAGAATCAACACAACAAAGTGAAACAAAAATCTTTACTGAGAGATCAACACAGGTCTTTCCACTGTGGGTGACAGCAGTAATGCACTGATCCGTGATGTCATCACTTCCGTGGTCGCGTTGGAGCTGTGTGATAGGGTTATCCTCTAAGCTAGTTGAAACAACTTCTTCTATAGACTTCACACAGCTCTTCTTTCTGTCAAGACAAGCAGTAATATGCATTAAGGAGTAATGCAGGTTAAGTTAAAAAATATAATGTTCTCAGGCACCACCACAAAGTCTGCTTCCATTTTAAAAAAAAACCCAACAAATCCATAAATATTCCGCATCTCTAACACACAACCCCGGCAGTGAAATGTTATAAAACTTAAAAACAATGCGATCCCATATAACGTACAGTTACTTCCCATTACATGAGCACTGCTTTACAGCACATCTTGTGTTATGGTCATGGCGGCAATAGGAGTATGTGTGCTTATCTTGCCATTTGCAAATTTGGTGAATGAAAGCATTAAATTTACGATAAAACATCATTAGACATGATAATTTACAAAATCAATGTATTATAAGCAGAGATAAGATTACATGTGTATTTGTCTTGTAAAATAAGCCTAAAATAGCGATCAGCTGTTCAAACATTTTCTCCCCGATCTATGGATGATTTAGTTTAAAAAATACTTAATGTCATGGCCAATATCATAACTGAAAAGAAATTTCAAAACAGTGATAGGAAGCCCTAAGACTTTGTATCTCAGTTCATACACAATTTCAACGAATTTAATGTGAACAAAATGGAATGAAATCTTGGATATAAGTAATATTAGTAAAATCTAAATATTTTTTACATTTGTATACTTATCCTGCATTACTCTTTAATGCATTCACTGCTTACCTTACGACAACAAGTGCAATGGCGATGGTCTTGGGTGAAGAAATAAAGATGTTGTTTATTCTAAATCCCACTTTTATACAGACAATCACCGCTGTCATGTGACCTTGATGACAAGTCACCTTCTCCACATCACTGCCTTTCGTCTGAGCTTAAAAAACATACTTTTGAGGGTTCTGAAGCTAAAGTGGGGAGGCAAGTCTGCGGCGGGTGGGTCCTTAAACGTAGTAATGCAAGATAAGTATACAAATGTAAAAAATATTTAGATTTTACTAAATTTTTAACTTATCCTGCATTACTCCTTATTGCATCTGTACTGGACGGTTTGGAGGTGGGTAAAGCTTCAGAAAAACAGACACCTCAATAATTCGCACTCTGAAACATGACACATAAACCGTGAGGCCAAAAATGCCTTTACATTCAAATATGATACAGATTGAACATAGGAATTAAAGAGTAGTTCCCAATACATATTTAGTAAGAAAGAAAGAAAGAAATGATTAGCTAGGCAGCTAATTCTTTACTTTCTATATCATAGAGCAGAGGCCTGACAAAAAAAGATTGTCAATTTCCTTCCACTGGCCGAATCTCAACGACTTGTGCAAGGAAGTAGACTGGCTCTGTATAGGGCGAGTTCATTATTTGCGTCGGGGCTTGGTTACCTGCTGGGTTACAACCAGAGGGCCAAAAGTTCACACGCCTTCTACGTCCTCGAGAGTCACATCGCGAAGATAATGACTAGCCAAAACTGTGTCAGACCTAAAAAACCATCCTTCCATGATTGTTCTAATAGAACAGTTGCTGTGTAACACCATGGTAGAGGCTAGCGCCCTGATCTCGTGAGGATTATTCACTCTTGGTGGATCAAGTTTGGCGATCGCGTAAGCCTGAAGGAGGTCTGTGTGTAACCATGCAGATATGGTGTTGCGACTAACTTTGGTCATGGACGTTGAAGACACAGGTATAAATAACCACTTCCTCAAACCACGTCTAGTCTTCAAGCGGTGGATGAAAACTCGAAGTTCACTCCATCTTCAGCTCCCACAATAGTTGATATCGGTGGGATGGTGAAGGAACGATTGGGTTGGCCTGGTAGTTGATTTTTTGCTATAAAATCACAGCACAACCTGAGATGTACCGCTCTGTGCATCCCATGCTCAAAATGGACCTGGTTGATGTCGATTGAATCTAATCTGGAGGCGAGGAACACCGGTGAGGTCGACGGGCATCGCTCAGGGTATCAGAGAATCAGCGGCGTTGGCATCAGCGGCATTGGTGCCGGTGTCAACATCTACTACCATTCCTGTCGTCAGGAAACGAGAGTTGATGCAAAAAGTAAAACCCGGATAGGTGACAGAAATAGAATGAGGCGGGTAGCCAAAAACTAAAACTGACCTAAGAGCGAATGTGGAACGCAAGTGAGCCGTCTTGTCTGGGGTGATAAACACCAGAGAGGTCGACGGGCCCCGCTCAGGGTATCGGAGAATCAGTGGCGTCGGTGATAGATGACCTGTTGGACTACAACCAGGGACCAAAACTGTGAACGCCGGCGACATCTTTCAAGGCTACGATTGCCAAGAACAGGCTTCCATGAGCGACTGGATGGAACAGTTATACTGTGAAGAGCCATGGTAAATGCGATTGCCCTGATCTCGTGTGGGTTGATAGCCTTGGAGGGGAGGGTCCAATCCGGCGGCTTCATAAGCTTAGAGGATGACCACCCGTAGCCACAGGGAAAAGTATTCTGGCTGACCAATGACTGCGACAAAGGAGAGACCAGCAGAAAAAAGGTGTTTCCTAGACTTGCTGCAGGCTTTAGATCGTCGTAGAACAACCTTCAGTGCCCTTACTGGGCATAATAACACTCCTCCTCATCCTCGGCACCCACAATGGACGAGGG